AATGGATGGATGGATGGATGATGGATGGATGGTTCAATGGATGGATGGTTCAATGGTTTGATGGATGGATGGTTCAATGGTTTGATGGATGGATGGTTCAATGGTTCGATGAACGGATGGATGGATTGATGGATGGATGGATGGATGGATGGATGGTTCAATGGTTCAATGGATGGATGGATGATGGATGGATGGATGGATGGATGGTTCAATGGTTTGATGGATGGATGGTTCAATGGTTCGATGAACGGATGGATGGATTGATGGATGGATGGATGGATGGATGGATGGATGGTTCAATGGTTCGATGGATGGATGGACTCACTGTGTTGGTGAAGGACAGGTCCAGTCTCCAGATGGTTCCGTTTGAATCCTGTGAAGCAGAAAACATTGAGGACTGAGTGGACCTGAGTTTTTGCCTCGGTTACTCTGGTGGCCATGGCTGCACGGTCGCACCTGAGCGAACCACATGAAGGAGTCGGGGACGCTGGTCCGGACCATGGAGGTCAGGCAGACGTTGTAGTCGACCAGCAGCTCGTTGATGGGCTCCACCTCGAAGCTGCTGCTGCTGCTGTCGCTCATGGTGGCCATGTTGATCTTCTCAAAGTCCCAGTTCTGCAGTCAGAGACGCAGCGTCACCCGTCTGATCGCCCCCTGACCGCGTTTACCTCCACGCCCGTTTTACCCGCACGGCTCCGTCCGCACCGAACGTCATCAGCTGCCCGTCCTCCAGGGTGAAGGGCTGCACCACCCCGACGTGGCAGCTCCGCCCCTCCTTACGGGTGATCTCCATCCGGATGGTGTTGCCCTCCCAGAGCAACAGGTTGCCCCAGTCTGTGCCCGATATCACCTGACAGGGAGACACACGATTCTTGAAGGTGTTTTCACCGTCCTAAATAATTTGTTTACACATGTTCATTACATTTTCTGTGCAAAACCATTCTTAGATAATGAGATTCTAGTTTATTCAGTTCTGCATTTTGATCTGCTTTGGGGCATCTAGTCACTTTACATCCAAATACACGACTGCTTAACATTTAACATTTTACTGTACATTCTTGAAAAGCAGAAGTGGAGCCTCCTGCACAACCAACAAGCTTGCAGCAAGTGGTTTCTGGATGGTAATTACAACAAAACACTTGTGTTTTCCAGCAGCCATTGTAAAACCAGCTGTCCAAACAAAACTCAGGCTGCTGGGTAATGAGCCGGGATTTAAATCAGCTCATTTTCCAGACATCAAGACAAAGAAACAAAAATAGTTCAAATTAACTTATTGCCAAAACTGCCTGGCCTGTTTGTAAGAGTTTGAGCTGTTTTCAGAATCAGTAGAAACTCAAATGGAAGATCAAAATGTACAAAATGTGAATTTTTCATAATAAGTTGCTTTTAAGGAATCCAGGCAGAATTCCAGGTTCTTCCAGGTTCTTTCAGGAACGACATCCTCACCTTTCCATCTGGAAGTTCGACGTAGCCCTCAATGTCGGTTGATGCGGTTTTCCCAAAATGCCCCATAATTCCTTGCAGTTTGAGACCCGTGAAGGTTTCCGCCATTTTCCAAAACCTGACAGAAAGAAACAAAACAAATCCAAACAAACAAATCAAACGTTGATCATTGCTGATTGTTGCTGATCATTGCTGAGATTCTTTCTGCCTCAGAGAAAAACAGAACAAGTTTCTAATCTGAACTAAATTCTTTGTTTTATTATTGAAACTCTGGAGGAGCTGCAGAGATCCACAGTCTGGTAAGAAATGAAGGCTTAAATAAATAAATGTTTATATATTTAAATATTAATTTAAATTCAAATATTTGTATGTAAACATTAAATACTATATTAAATATAAATATTTAAAAGTAATTTTTCATTTGAATGTAATGCATAAATATTAACATTAACATAAAATATTAATAATATGGAATTCCATTATCAAAATTAATATAATTATTTTATATATAATACATTAAACACCATTATTATTAATTTTCTATAACTTGATGTTTAAATATTTGCATTAGACCCTGAATTATTTCTGTGTTGTCCTTTAAAAGCCGCCTAGAGGCAGAGAGCTGAACTGCGCTGTGAGCGGGTCGGGTCTGCTGCGTACTTGATGTGTGCGGAGCCGGAGGAGGTGAGCAGACCCGGGTTGTGCGGGGAGAAGCTGACCCGGTAAACCTCCTGGGAGACGGCCTTGCAGCTCAGCATCACCTCCTCCTGCCTCCAGTTCCACACCGTCAGCATGTAGTCCGGGGCGCCGCCCACGCTGGCCAGCAGGCTGCCGTCCGGGTTGAAGTCCACGAAGCTGTACTGGCGCTCCGTTCCGCCTGGACACGTTCACACTGAGCGCCGCCACAGGGAGGATTATGGGAAAGTGTGGACATGTTTACCTTTGAGGATGCGGTACAGCCTTAGTGAGGGATATTCGTAGATTAGGAGGAACGGATACTTTCCTTTCTCTGCCACAGCAAACAGCTGTCCGGCTGGATGAACCTGCAAACACGCAGAAGAACAGATTTAGTTTGGGTTTTATACGACAACGAATCAGGGATGTTATAGATAGAAAGAAACAGAGTAAAATTTCATTAAAAAACTCAGTCATTTTGAGATTATTCTCAAAAGTTCTTTAGAAAACACTCTGAACATTTCCAAAAGTAAAAATAGACTGACTTTTGAGTTCTGAAATTTGCTGGATTTTTCCACAAAATTTCTGAAATTATTCTAAAAAATATCTAGTTTTTTTTCTAGTAATTTTTTGGTATTTTAAGCTGAGAGTTTTCTTTATTTTTTTCTACAAAATTTCTGAGAGTAATCTCAAAATGTCTGAGGTTTTTTTCTAGCAAATTTGCAACTTTTGAAATTTCCAAACGTTGTAAAGTTGAAACCTACAAGTTTTTCTACAAAATTTTTGAGATTCATCTCAGTTTCTGATGTTTTTCCAGTAATTTATTTTCAAACTGAGAAATTTTCCATTTTTTCTCAAAAATTTGAGGAATTAACCTCAAACTTCAGACTTTTTTTCTACCAAATTCTAGATTTTTTGGCATGAATTTAGTCGTGTTTTTTATGTCTACAATGGCCCAAATACTTTCAGTATTTTATGCAGTAAAAACTGTGACAGAGTTTATGACTAAAGGTCCAGAAAATAAACAATTCAATCGTTAGTCCTGGGAATCCTGAATGGATTCATTTCTTTTTAAAATGAAAGATACTTAAAAGCAGAACCAGGTGAAAGTGTTGTTTTTTCTGTTAAGTTAAAACGGTTTAGATCCATAAGAAGGTTAACGTGCTGTATTCTAGTTTCCTCACGGCGATGGCGCCGATTCCTCCGCCGCTGCAGGAGCGCAGGTACGTCTGCTGCCGGGTGGAGATCTCCAGCACCACCAGCAGGTTTCCTGCGATGAACAGCAGCGTCGTCTCGTCCAGCAGCCTCAGGTTGGACCTGCGGCAGCTGTCATAGCCGAACGAGTGACTGGAGAGCAAAGGAGTCAAGGAGGAGAGCAGAGGAGAGGAGAGGTGTGTAGTTATTGTAATAGCTGCTGCTGTAATTGTTTCAGTAGTTTGTTCTGGGCTGAGCGGTGCGGATACGAGAAGAGCAGCAGGTTCTCTGGGATCTCTGAGTCGGGGGTCATGGTGGGTCTGGAGCGGAGCTCCTCGTAGTTGTAGAACACGTCTTCAGCCGGACTCTCCTCCAGCATCTCTGTGGGCTCCGGCTGAACCTCAGGCACTTCAGCATCGCCTCCTGGTGATGGAGGGAACATCCACATCCACACCAGGTTCATCACATCCAGGAAACAACAGAGACTCAGTTCTGCAACTATCTTCACATCACAATATTTTGCCTCCTTTGTCAAATCCAAAATTTAGGTTGCATAGCTTTATTCTAGACAATTACTGAGATTCTATTGGTGAAAATGTTCCATCGTCGTAATAGATCATTGTACAAAAAAATTTGTGTTGGAATCCCAGTGGCCTAATAGTTATCGTGTTTGTAGTTATAGGTCAGAAATTTTGGCTTCTGAGTCAGAAAATCAGCTGGAAGATCCACAATTTGAACTTTCCTTTGGAAACGCTGACTTTGAAATCCAATATGGCCGCTCCTTGCTTTTACTGACGCTTTTGTAAAGTGTAAAATCAAAGCTGCATGTAGCGCCTGCAACTCTAAACTAAAGAAATTTAAAAGTGGCATTGGCTTGTAAAATGATCTTCAGTGGCTACTGGGACGTCGTCATATCGGGATTCAATGTGACGTCATTCCCATCTCTGAGTTCTGCAGTCATGCCAGAAGTTGATTTAAGTAAATTCAGCATAATTATGAAGTGTCCGCAGCAATTTAACAGTCAGAAACTGAGCGACAGCAGCAGGGCCTGAATTACCTTCGGTGTGTTCCTGTGTGGAGGTCGGTGTGTTTTCAGCTCCGTCAGAAACTGAAACTGGTTTCATCCGCCATGATCTCCTTCCTATGAGCAAAAATATCACAATGACAAAACTCAAGATTTCTCAACCTGTAAAACTAAAAAATATATTAAAAATCTAATTTATTTAGTCGATATGTTTTTTTTTCTGTCAGCCGTTTAAAAATTATAGATCAGCTCTCGCACGTCTCCCTGTCTGTTAACGCGTTGCCAGGCAACAAAGGGACGCAATGCCGTGGCTGCAAAGCATTCTGGTTAATGTAGTTCTCTATAATTAATAGAATAAAATAAATAGAATAAAATAAACTAATATTACACTTTAAAAAATTCTTAACACAATGCATAAATATTATGGTTTTAATTCTCACCTTTAACCAAAAATAACTCAGTCTGATTCTTTCGTACCGATAGAAATAAAGATGCAGGACCGGGAGGAAGAGCTGGGATTCATCATTTTAACCGTATCTATGCGCATTTTGCAATAATAAAGCGAAAAAAACGATAAAAGTAGAAACGGAGCTTCAAACGCACTTTTTATGAAGGTAGACGTATTTTGCGACAGCGACAGATGACTTACGGCTTTGTCGTAAACCGGAACGACAACAGACGCATGGGACGGAGTTGAAACAACGTGTCTAACAGCTGAACTGTAAGTTATTCATTGAAAATGTGAAATAATTTGTTACTTTCAGTTTTAATATGTCACAAACTATTATCTATGTTCACATTTATGACTATAAAGCGACAGAAAGAGCAGAATTTGATCACAGGACGCGGTTTTATTCAAAGTGTTGCTGTTTACCGATGGATTCCTCAAACAATGACTCAGTTCTATGTTACAACACAAACTCCATATTTTATTTTGTGTCTCTACTACTTACTTAATGTCATTTGTTGATAAATAGCCAAACTTATATTGTGGATATTTAAAGAGGTTAATATTTTCTGTTCAGACAGAAACCTCCTCCTGTTGCGCTGGGAATAAACCCTGCATGTTGAGGATTTTCATCTAAATATTGTATCCAAATATACTTTATTTATCACGAAAGGAAATTAAATGTGGAAGTGATTCATGGCATCTAAGTATTTGAATGGTGATACTTTGGGCAGGAAGGCTCTCCTGTAGCAGTCAGTATTACAACTTATCTGAAGAGTCCTCTGACCGAAGATTGATGATTTATGATAGTTTCATGACTGTCGCGAGATGCTTACAGCTCAGTTTCATCAGAGACAATATGTGCCTTTTATTATTCAGTATCCACAGTAACATGACCAGATTACGCTATCAGTTGTTAGCATCGATTATCCATCCATCTAATAATTTCTCGTCCATCAAAATGACTTTGTGTTTTTAATTTAAAGAATTACCTTAAAATCAACTGAAAACTCTTTAAATTAAGTATTTTAAATGTCTGTTTCATTTCTTGGAACAGAAAAAAAGATATAATTTGAATCAATTTAAAAGCGCCCTAAACTGGGATCTGCTGTAAAACTGAAACCTTCCTGGAATCCAGCATAGATTTACTGATTCTGTCCTTAAGCTAACAGGCTAATTAAACCCGAACCAGTGAAGCATTCCTTCTGTCAGCTGTTCCTGTTCCACTCATCAGGTAAAATGTGTTTACCTGATGAGCCTCCAGGTGAGTTTTGTTCCTGTTTTCCTCTCAGTATTTCCTGGGATCCCGAATCACCATGGAAGCCAAACCCCAAAAACTGTTCTCCTCCCAGCCTGGACGAAAACTGTCATACAAAGGAAAAGGAAAAGGAAAAGGTGAGACGTGTGTCAAATTAACAGGAGTTACACCCTAAACTCGGGCTTCAGCTTGTGGACTCGTTCCAGACTCGGCGGGGACCAAATTCGGAGGGAAACCTGGAGTGAAAAAACCCTTCAAGCCGTACAAGAACACAGAGAAGAAGAGCAGACCAGGAAAACCAAACGATGGCAAAAAACCAGGTTTCTCTAAAACTGGGAAGAGGAAACAGCCAGCAGGGGGCGGCGGTGAGTTTACATCCTTGTTGTTGTGTTTTGTTTTTGTTGGCGACAGCGTTTGAGTCGTGTTTGCGTCTGTGATCAGGTCCGCCGGCGAAGAGGCAGAAGAGCGGCAAGAAGCCGCCGACCGCAGAAGAAGAGCAGAAGAAGCGGCTGCAGAAGAAGAGGGAGCTGAAGAACAACCGGCAGCAGTTGGAGAGGAAAGAGATGTTTGACATCATCAGCCGCTGCAAGGAATTATGGGGGAATCTCCGGAGGTACAGCGTTCTCAGAGTGGAGGTCAAAGGTCAGCTGGGTTTTCTTCTGATTCCAACTGATGGCTGTCATTTGGGTCAACAGGAAGAAATGTGACACAGAGCAGAAGTCGAAGCTGATGAAGGAGCTTCATGGACTCATCCGTGGGAAGATAAAGCAGGTTGGATGTTTGAAAAAAAATTAAATTAATGGAAGATAATCACTAAAATTACTGCAAAATTGATGTGACACAAATTCTTCATCTCCTTCCAGTTGACAACATGCCAGACTCACAAACAGCAGTTTCTGATTTTGCTTCATATTTTGTTGCATTAAAGTTTTACGACTCAGGTGATCAAAACTGTAAACGCATGATGTGACAAAGTTTATTCAGGTCATGAAAACAGGTCACATTTTATGGCGATAACTACTTTGAAAGGGTCAAAAACGGCAGCCATCTTGAAAAATAACTGTCATTTTGAAACTCAAGTGGCTGATGTAAAATATGGAGACGTACGACCTGAGGGATGAGCATGCTAACACTGCAGCTCAGAATCAGATTTCTCTCTTTTGTTCTGATGCGATGGCGCTCCTCTGCCTGCAGATGGCGTTCGCCCACGACTCTGTCCGAGTCCTGCAGAGTTTCATCCAGTTTGGCAACCAGAAGCAGCGATTTCAGGTGTTTGAGGAGCTGAAAGGTAGGCGCCGGTTCTGTCCCGCTGCATCTCTAAAGTAAAATAAAATGAAATAAAATAACCGATCCACCGTCCTCTGCAGACAGCATCCTCGACATGTCCAAGTCGCCTTATGGAAAACATGTGGTGAAGAAGCTGCTGATGTACGGGTGAGTCGGATTTGACTGTTCGGTTCTCTCCCCGTTCCGACTGAATTAAAACCCCCAAAATCAAACTACTTCTTCTTCTGGTTCTCCTTCCCGCTCAGGAACAAGGAGATGGTGGCCGCCGTCATCCAGTTGTTCAGCGGTCAGATTCGCAAGATGCTGCGCCACGCCACCGCCTCCACCATCGTCGAGTACGCCTACAACGACAAGGCCATGCTCGCTCAGAGGCTGATGATCACCGGCGAGCTGTACGGGAACACCTACGCCATCTGCAAGGTCTCACACACACACACACACACACACACACACACCTGGCGGTCAGCGGTGAGCTACAGCTGTGCTAACCGATCCTCGCTGCTCGTTTTCCAGTCGTTTGAGCTCAACACCATCGAGAAGGTGTTGGCGGCGAACCCGGAGAAGCTGGAGAACATCATGGAGGAGACCAAGCAGGTCATCGTGCCGCTGGCGCAGAAGTAAAAGCAAATGCACTAAAAGACAATGCATTAAATTTTAGTTATTGGTTAGAAAATGGCTGATTGTTTCTGCGTCTCTCCAACAGAGAACAGGTCATCAGGCATTCTGTGGTCCATAAAGTCTTTCTGGATTTCTTCCAGTTTGCACCTGAAAAAGCAAAGATCGGTGAGCGCCGCCATCTTCCTGTCGAAACATAAACATAGTTTTGGTGTAATTTCTAAAGCAATATTTTAGTACATTTTAAATGAGAATAGATTAATTACAAATAGCTTGTCATCAAGACATAGGAACTTATTCAAGTCAATATAAACTGCTAGTTCCACTAGCATATTATTTCACTCATAACATGAAAAAATATATTGTTTCAAGTGAAATAAGTATAAGAATTAGAACTTTGTCATTAATAATCAAGGTGACTTATTAAGCTAGACTCACGTTTTGCATGTTTTTGAACTAGTAGTTTTTCTCTGCTGTTTCTACAACCATCATCCCAAGTGCTTAAAACAGGAGGCTCCACTTCTGCTAATCAAAGATGTGTGGTTGCAAGTGAAATAAAAGCTCTTGTGACTTTATTTGGATTTAAAGTGACAGAAGATGGAAAACAGATTATTCTGAAAGGATGAAAATAAGCAACTAAAATTTCATTGTCTAAGAAAAGATTGTGCAAATCAGTCACCTTTAAGAAATTATTCTCTTTAAACAAGCCCCCATATCTTACTGAACAGTTAGTTGTAAGTTGGTTTTGTCTTATTTCCAGTGTATTCAGATGTTTGCATGATGTTGCATTTAATCTCTCGTGTTCTGCCTGCTGTGACTCTGAGCAGGAGATGATCGAGTCCATCAGGGAGGCCGTGGTCTACATGGCTCACACTCACGACGGCGCCCGGGTCGCCATGCACTGCCTGTGGCACGGCACGGCGAAGGTGGGTTCAGATGTCCAACACTGTTAGAGAAACTCAGTCCATTTATACTGTTATTATTATTATCATTTGGGATTCACAATATATCTGCATTTCATACATGTTTGAGAAATCCTTTAATCTCCATGGTAACCACTCAGCTGGAACTAGAAACAGCCAATCAGAGCCAGGAGGCGGATAACTAGCTAGCATAACCTGTTGTGAATGCTAATGCTATTTAGCATAGCCACTGATAAAGGCAGATAAACTGTTTTCCTGTAAAACTGAGTTGTTTTTACATTAACACATTTAGCGACACGTACATGAGGGTGATTGACAGCGCCAATCATCCAGCTACAAACTGCAGCTTCAAAGGATTTTCTCTGTTTTTCAGGACAGAAAAGTCATTATAAAAACCATGAAGACCTACATGGTGAAGTTCGCCACGGTGAGTTCATCGTTGCTGCTGGTAGCCCAATCAAACCATCAGCTGATGATGATGATGATGATGATGATGATGATGATGATGATGATGATGATGATGATGGACTCTTCGTCCTGCAGGGGGAGTTTGGTCACATGGTTCTCCTGGCGATATTCGACTGCGTGGATGACACCAAGCTGGTCAAGCAGGCGGTTCTGTCGGTACGACCCGGTTCACATTTAGTTTCACTTTATTTTGGTTAAATTACAAAATTATAAAAAAGACAAGAAAACAAAAATACTAACAGAATAAACAGTAAGAATCTGTTGTTTCTACATTTTGTCCAGTAGAATCAAACGTTAGTCAGCCGTTGTAAACGGGTTTGTCCTCCTGGAGGAACTGAATCGTTGCTCTGCTCTGCAGGAGCTGCTGTCCGCCCTGCCGGAGGTCCTCGGAAACAAACACGGCAAGAAGGTTCTGCTCTACCTGCTGAGCCCCAGAGATCCCACCCACATGCTGCCGGACGTCGTCAAGCAGCTGGAGCAAGGAGACGGCAACGCACACAGGTAGCGAACACTTCCTTTCATGTCACAATAAAAGCTTCTGATTGGTCTCTGAAATGTAATAAATCTTTAGTGAGACTAAACCAACGTGATCCCATCTCAGTCATTCTACTTTTAGTCAGCTTCTACCTTTATTTTCTTCTTTTCCTCCTTTGTGTCCTTCCTTCCTTTCCTTCTCTGGTTCATTCATTTCTTTGGGTCCTTCTTTTCTTTCCTTCTTTTTGTCCTTTATTTTCCATCTTTCCTTTCCTTCTTCATTCTCTCATCTCCTTTCCTTCCTTTGCTCCTTCCTCCTCTGCTCTTTAAATTCAGGTTGAATAAAAATAAACACAAAATGAATGTTGGGAATATTATGGGATGTTTGACTTTAGAGTTTTTGGACTTTTCAGCTCGGCTTCACAAATTTCCTCTAAAACCTTCACAATAAAAGCCTCTAATCCTTCAGACAGGAAGTAGAGTTCTGTTTTTAGTCAAACATTAAAAGTCGATCCAGTTCAGTGACCTCTAGATGACCTCCACATGACCTCTGCCTGTCCTGGTTCTGCTCAGTAAAAAGGACATGGCGACCCGGCGGCGGGAGCTGCTGGAGGCCGCCTCCCCGGCGCTTTTGGATCATCTCCTTCTGAACGTCGCCGCCATGGTAACGAGCAAGGCGGCCTGCGTCAGCGTCAGAGACATCCTGGCGTCGGCGTGCGGCGACCTGCGGCCCGCCATGACGGCCGTGGCCCAGCTGGCCAATCAGGAGCTGGTACCGGGAGGAGACAAGGGACAGGTGAGGGGAACCGGACGGGAAGTCTCTTCATCTTTCACGTTGAAACTGTCCTCCCTTCCTTTATTTACTTCCTTAAGTCCTTGTTTCTTTCCTTCCTAACCTGGAACATGTCAGAGTTTCTGAAAGTCTGGTGAACTTTATAATGTTTATACAAAAATGTGCTGAAAGCAGCGTTTCCATGGAGATGAGGTTGATTAAAAACCTGAAAGGTCAAAAGATCAGAAACTGGAAAATTGGTTTTAAAAATTAACTAATTACTCAGTCGGTTTATTATTATTGTAAGCAAAATGGATAATAAAACCAAAAACATGGAGTCTGAATAGTTTGTTCTGTTTGTTGCTGCAGCTCCACTTGGCCGAACACCCAGCAGGACACCTGGTGCTGAAGTGGCTCATAGAGCAGGACGCCATGTTGGAAAAGAACGGCAGGGAGGGTAAGACCTGCAGAACGTCTCTGTCCTCTCTGACGTCTCTGACGTCTCGTCCTCTCTGACGTCTCTGTCCCCACAGAGCGCTTCGGCAGGATCCTGGTGGACACGGTCGGGACGGAGACCATGAAGAGCTGGGTCAAGGTCAACCGGGGAGCCATGGTGCTCTGCAGGTCAGCTGCTGCTTCTTCATGCTCAGCTTTGCTGGTTTACGCTCAATTTGAACAACATCTGTCTATAAAATTAGTTTTTATTTAGAAAACAAATGGTTTGTCTTTTAAATCTGACATTTACATTTTGACACATTTTACCTTTAACGCCTCAAACCTATAAAAAAATACTTGAAACAGAAACAAAACATCTGGGATTGAAGCTCAATAAACTGGTCAGGTTGAGGTGTTAGTGGGTTACCATGGCAGCCATGCTCATGCAGGAACATCTGGTTCAATTCACACTAATTATGTGTTTAATGTTCAAATCAATAATCACTAATTCAAAATCTGACTGACAGCAAAAGTGGGAGAAGTATTTTATTTTCTGTACAATTTGATGTTAATTCAGGCATAAAAATGTTTTTCAAGTGGTTTTATTGTTGAATAATCCGTCCATCGGCTATAACCGCATATAACTTATAAAAAGGAAAAAAATCAACCTCACTAAGTTCCTCACACCTGTCACCAGGCAGGTGAGCGATGTGTGAGCCTCACATTTTACCAAAGACAACAAGAAAAGTTAAAAACAATCAGCTGAAGCTCCGTATCTTTGCAAAACACACTGAAGGGATGATGGAGAACATCTGGAATGTGTGACTATCATAAGAGACTTTATGCTCACAAACAGCTGATATAGGTGTTGCTCCTACGGTTCTTAATTTAGGACTTTTTAATGTGTTGCAGGAGTTTTGTGTTGACGTTTGTTTTCTTTGTTCAGCCTTGTGAACAGCTGTGACAGTTCAGTGGCTGCTGAGGTGAAGGCGGCGCTCAGAGCCATCACACCGGAGCTCCAGAGAATCAAGAACCATAAAGGAGCCGAAATCCTGCTGCAAAATCTCAACAAGTAGACGGATTTCTGCAGATTTTTGTTTTCGTACAAACGGACCGCAGATGTTCAAACGTCGCTTCGTTTGGACCATGAAACGTCCAAGACATCGAGGACGACGTGAGAAGTGGACAAAGTCTGGAACATTTTGGAGATTTCAGCCATTAATCCTGATCTGCTTCACTGATTTAAAGGATGTCGGATAAAAATCACACAAATTCACTTTTTTTGTGGGGTTTGGAAAACATCAAAGTGGAGCATCAAGCCTTTCAGCGATAACAAAGTCAGCACACACCAGTTTGTGGACTGATTCAGTCTCTTTTGTTTGTGAAATATTGTGATAAATGTTATTAACTGAGAAGAAAATAAAGATTATTGAAATATTCTGTGTTCAGAGTGTTATTATTATTATTAATGATTAAATATTTTACATCTCATCCTCACTTGCTTGTGTAAAAACATGTTGATTTCTCAGGGTTGAACAAACACAACAAATGACTGAATATATTTAAAAACAAACATTTATGGCACAGTTTTGAATTTCCTCCTTTTGGTTTTTGCAGATTCCATATTCAAATGCTGACCTCGGCAGAAACATGTGCCACAAATTGAAAGTGAAGTTTCTTTAAAAATTGAGTAGAAAAATTATATTTTAGAGATTATTAGCTAAAATGCTACAACCAGAAACAAAAGCTTCAAACAAAATATTTAGTTAGCAAGCTAAATGTTTAGCCTCAAGCTCAATTCTTAGCTTCAAAAACAATATTTTTATAGCTAATTGTGTTTAGTCTGAGCTAAATATTTCGACTAAAAACTAAATATTTTTATTAAGTATTTTTTTTCTAATTTTACTAAATATTTAGTAAGTAAAATATTCATCCTCAAGACTAAATATTTTGCTTGCTAACTGATGGTGTTTGCTTTGTATTAAACATGTACTTATCAAGCTAAATATTAGCTGTTTAGAGGCTAATTATTTAGCTATAAGCTAAACATTTTGTTAGCAAGCTAAGTATTTATTTAGAGCTAAGTATTTAGTTTACATATTTAGCTCCAAACTAAACATTTAGTAATAAGTAACATGGTGAGAAAATGACTTTGGAAAATGGACCGCCATTGTTTTCTGTTATTACAAACTGAACACCTGATGGCGCTCCATCCCAGTCCATCTCAATGCATTTGCTGCAACAAAGCTAAATTTGCTGCTCTTTGGATGTGTTTGTTTTCTCTCGGGAAAGACAGGCGGGTACAGCTGATGGATGGAGGTTCAGGTTCTGACGTTTAGTAACCGCACTTCACTCCGTCGTCGTTGTCGCCCACCAACCGTCGCCCTCCAGGCGGCTTCGCCTGAGCGACGTCGTCGCAGCAGTCGGCGAAGCGCTTGGCGGCCCTCTTGATGAAGCGGATCTTCCCTCGCGCCCGGCTGACCATGGCGAACTCGTGGGACTTGAGCTTGGTGTAGTAGTCGGAGAACTTGTTGTAGAGGATGGAGATGGGCATCCCGTTCAGGATGACGCCGAACGAGATGCAGGCGAAGGCGAAGACGCGGCCCAGGTTGGTTTCCGGGAGCATGTCGCCGTATCCCACCGTGGAGATGCTCACCTGGACCAGCAGACAGGAGGAGACTTTGCTTTTATTTCTCTATTAGGAGAGGTTTCTACAGCTTGACAAGTATTTTATTATATATTTATTACTTTTGGATCAACAGTCTTAACCCTAACCCTAAACAACTTCATTTACCAAGGGAGCAAAGTTTCCTTGATTTCTTCATCCTCTCCTTCTAGAGTCCTTTCTTTCTTCCTGGTGTCTCCTTTCCTTATTCCCTCTTCCCAGTTTTTTTCCTTCTTTCATTATTTCTATCCTTCTTTGTATTGTTCTTTTCTTGCTACTTTCATTTCATTCTTCCCTTAATTTCTTCCTTATCTAATTTTGCTCTTTCTGGTGTCCTCCTTTACTTCCTTTCTTCCTTGCTCCCTTAATTAATTCGTTCCTGTTTCTTCTCCACAACTTCTTTCTTTGTCTCCTAATTCCTCCCTCCCATCTTTCCTTAATTCTTGACTTGCTCCTTCCTTTGTTGTCTCCTTCCTCACATCCTAGTTTTCTTTATTCCTTTATTTCTTGCAAGTGTCCTTTATTTCTTATTTCCTTCCCTCTCTTATTCTTATCTTGCTCATGTCCTCCTTTCTTTCTTTGATTTTTCCTTCCTTCATTGTCTCCTTCCTCTGTTCCTGGTTTCCTTCATTCCTTTCTTCCTAGTGTCCTTCCTTCTTCATACAATAGAAACATCCTGGAAGTAAAGCCCCCTCTGCTCTAGCTTGTGGCGGCGATGTAGCGGTCTAGTCAAAGCCTTGTAGAGCGGACTCACCGCGGCCCACCACCAGGCGTGAGGCATGGAGGTGAAGTTGGTGTTGTAGACGTCGTGCTCCACGCTGTACACCATGGCTGAGAACATGAAGATGCCCATGGCGATGAAGAGCAGCAGACAGCCCACCTGCAGCGACACGGAACAACTATCACCATCAACAACCAGCCAGGCCCGATCCTCACGTGGTTTGGATCCGGACCTGCTGGTAGCACTGCCTCAGAGTGAACCCAAACGCTCTCAACCCAGTGGAGTGACGGGCCAGCTTCAGGATCCTGAAGATTCTCATGAGACGCATGATCCTCAGAACCTGACCCACCTTAGGAGGAAGAACACAGAAGATCCAAGATTCAGAAAAAGGACGACACCAACACAATAATTTGTGAGATCTGAGGCTAAACTGATACACCAACATGCTATTTATCTGAAGCTAATGCTAAAGTGCAAAACTAAAATTGTATTTATTAAATTCTAATGCTAAAATGCTAAACCAATATGGTATAAAGTGGAAAATAATATGAAAATATTACAACAATTATTGAAATGTCAAAATGTTTTACCAGCAGAATCTATTGCAAAAGATTCAATTCAAATTATATCTATTCCATAAATATTATATACATTATATCATATATATTATACATATTAATTATATCAAACCTTATGTAAGTGCAAATTTACAAGACATAAATTAGCGCTTTAAAATGTTTTCAAAGTTAGCTGAAGCGCTAAAAGAAAATTAGCTCAGCTGTTAGCGGATTAGCGCAGCGTGCAGTGCCGTGTTACCTTGCCGACGCGCGCGACAGTCTCGATGTCCCCGGCGTGGCGGTGGACGTCCTCGTCCTCGAAGCCCTCCAGCAGCATCTGCAGGTAGTGCGGCAGGATGGCGATCAGGTCCACCGTGTTCAGGACGCTGCGCAGGAAGCACTTCAGGTCCGGCGTGGAGATCAGCCGCAGAAGGTACTCCAGGGTGAAGAAGGTGATGCAGAGCGTCTCAACGCCCTCGCCGTAGAACCGTCCACTGGGCTGACCCGACGGCGTCTGCAGGGTCAGAACCGCAGGTGAGCCGGGGCCGGCTCAGAACCGTTTCCTTCTGGGTTTCGATACCGGACCTTGTACTGCATCTCGTCCACGGTGTTGAGCGTCATGGCGACCAGGGAGACCAGCACGAAGAAGGAAGAGGCCACGCCCATCAGCTTGGCGGTGATGGAGGAAAACGGTTTCTCCGTCAGGTTCCAGATCTTCCTCCGGGTCGGGCCAAAGGTCATGTGATCAAACATGGAGTCGCTTTCCTCCAGCTCCAGCTGCAGGGCGGAGAGACTTACTCTGTCAGGATCCGACCGTTCATCCAACCGTTCATCCAACCGTTCATCCAACCGTTCATCCAACCATGCATCCAACCGTTCATCCAACCATTCATCCAACCGTTCATCCAACCATGCATCCAACCGTTCATCCAACCGTTCATCCAACCATGCATCCAACCTTCATCCAACCGTTCATCCATCCGCTCATCCAACCATGCATCCAACCGTTCATCCAACTGGTTCATCCAACCGTTCATCCAACTGGTTCATCCAACCGTTCATCCAACCATCCATCCAACCGTTCATCCAACCGTTCATCCAACCGTTAATCCAACCGTTCATCCAACCATCCATCCAACCTTCATCCAACCGCTCATCCATCCGCTCATCCAACCATGCATCCAACCGTTCATCCAACTGGTTCATCCAACCGTTCATCCAACTCGTTCATCCAACCGTTCATCCAACCATTCATCCAACCGTTCATCCAACCGTTCATCCAACCGTTCATCCATCCATTCATCCAACCATGCATCCAACCGTTCATCCAACTGGTTCATCCAACCGTTCATCCAACCGTTCATCCAACCGTTCATCCAACCATGCATCCAACCGTTCATCCAACCATGCATCCAACCGTTCATCCAACTGGTTCATCCAACCATTCATCCAACCATTCATCCAACTGTTCATCCAACCTTCATCCATCCGCTCATCCAACCATGCATCCAACCGTTCATCCAACCATGCTGTTCATCCAACCGTTCATCCAACTGGTTCATCCAACCTTCATCCAACCGTTCATCCAACCATGCATCCAACCGTTCATCCAACCGTTCATCCAACCATCCATCCAACCATTCATCCAACCGTTCATCCAACCATTCATCCAACCGTTCATCCAACCATTCATCCAACCGTCCATCCATCCATCCATCCATCCATCCATCCATCCATCCATCCATCCATCCATCCATCCATCCATCCATCCATCCATCCATCCATCCATCCATCCATCCATCCATCCATCCATCCATCCATCCATCCATCCATCCATCCATCCATCCATCCATCCATCCATCCATCCACAGTAATTCATTATTTTTCAGATCTTTAAAACTGTAAAATATTTAGTTGTGCTTCAACAAGCCAACATCAACAAAGCCGATTCTCTTAGATATAAAATGTAAAAATCAAAACTCAGATATTTTTATAATCAGGTCTGATTTTGATTAATTTGATTTTTTCAGCCTCATAAAGAAATATAGTTAAATCCCAGTTAAATCGTAACAGGTTGAGTTTTAATGCGTTTTTTTTTTTTTGGCTCAGTGAATGAATAGAACTGAATCTGCAGTTTGTTTCCTCTGTGCTTTAATGCTGCTGCTGGGGAAACAAAGCGATGCCGTCAGCGAGGGAAACATCTGCCTGAATCTGGGCCAAGAAGAAGATTACTCTGCTGCCCATCTGTCAAGACGACGGCATCATGTGGGTCAGATGGACTCGGGTCAGGCAGCAGATTACTGACTTAAAACCTGAAGTGGAAAAAATCAGCAGCAGAAATAAAGACGAATAACTGGAACATTATTCTATTCATGCTCTGATTTTACGGTTCTTTAAGTTTCCTGCTGTTTAAGGTGACAACAAAGTGTCACTTCCTCTCTTTGTTCAAGTGTTTTGCACATTAAACATCCCCTGATGTCCCATAAAATTCTTGGTAACGTGTTTTTACAGTTTTTACAGTGCAGCTGCTGCCAGTTGTTGCAGTTCGAGGAGGTTCTGTTGGACCCACCTCGGCCAGCAGCTCCTTCTGGACCTTCAGCTGCTCGGTCAGCTCGTCCTGCCGCTCCTCAAACGAGATGCGGCAGCAGCGATGCGTGTATTTGATCCTCACGCCCCAGTAGTGGATCTCCTCCAGGAAGTGATGCGGACACAACTCCTCCTTAATGCACAGCACTCCGGTTCTGTTGGACCGGTGAGAACCGGCTGTCAGAGTTGGGCAGTAACAATAGTTACATTTACTCAATTAGGTTTACATCAGTAACTTTTGGAAAAAACTTTACTTTAGAAGTATTTTTACTACGCTGTAATATTTGTTCTCTTGCTTAAGCAAAATTTCTGGATTTTTTTTACTCACTGAATGAAAAAAACAAACATATTTTGACCAAAAATTCACCAGAAACAGACACACACCTGCAGCTTCTTCTTTTGGTTGTTACTTATATAAATTATTGTCATTTTGGTCCTTAAAATACCTAAATTTTTAAATATTAAATGATTGATAATTTGATGAGTAACTCCGTAATTAAGTAAACATTTTTGGCAAATATTTTTTTAATCTTACTTGAGTAAAATGTTTGGACACTTTATCCATTTCTGCAGATTTATAACAAGTGTTTTGTCTTTCATTTGACCTGTAGAAGTTGAAGATGTTGTGGAAAACTTTTGGGTCTCGGTCGAAGAAGAACTCGTTGCTCTGGACGATGTAATCATCACAGAGGTCCAGCTTCTTGCTGTGGTCTGTGTAGGTGGCCAAACGGCCGATCCGGGTCTTTGGGTAGCGGGCGGCTAATCTGTACGGCAGGAGGTAAACCTGGGAGGAGACGTTTAAAAAGTTCATGAAAATGTTGGAACAACTGAGCTTTTCTGAGTCACAATCATTAAATCAAAGTATTTTGTACCATAAAACTGCAATACGCACAGGTAGAAGTCTGTATGGGATTACAGAAGTGCCAAAAATAAAATACTGATTACACAAATAAATGAGGAAATAAAAGTTATACATTAGTATTAAAAGTGAAAGAAAATTTAAAAGATGATTGATTTAAAAGATAAATCAAAGAATCAAAGAAATAAAAAATAGACAGAATGCTATGTAAATAAAATGAACTTTAATTTGAACATAATAGTAAAAAAGTGATGTAATACAATACTTTAAAACTTTTTTTACATAAACTAGTCTTTTATTCTATTTTTCAATAATGTTTTATCTATTATTTTGTCATCATTATTCCATTTTTATTTTACTTTGACTTTTTGTAGTTTTTGTAACAACAATAACTAATACAATTATTACTATTAATATATCAATAATAGTAGAAGTGATCCTTGGTGTAGCAATAACACTTATTACTATTATTGCAATAATAATGATATTATTAATGGTAATAATAGTTTGCTAAATTTTTAGAGTTCCTGCAGGATTTTCTGGAAGTACCGTTCCTCCAACGTTGATGTTGAGGGTCAGGTGTTTGGTTGGAGACATCAGAACGTGAGACGGCGACACCGGCAGCCGGTCCTCCACCTCTTCGCGCTCGTACTCGGCATAAAGGTCGTAGATGTCTCTGCTCAGGTCCTGCATAAGGGAAACATTCATGGGGATCAACGTTCAGCTTGGAGGCAACAGGAACAAAACAAACTGCAGTGAAACATTCAAGCTTTTAGAATAATGAGTAAACCCCAATTAACTAGTGGAAGCAACACAGGTTAGACAAACCTTTAAATACCTGCAAGTAAAACACTAAATGGCATCAGATTAGTCAGATTGTTCTGTCGATTAATTGATTTGTCTGGTGATTAATCAATTAGCCTGATGAATAAATGATTAATCATTCAGTCTAGGATTAATTGGATAAACATCAGCACATTCTTGTAGCAATGGATGCATCAGTAGCTAATAAATCCTTCAAACATCTGATCTGTTGATACATTTTCCAATTCATTAATAAATAATTGGTTACCACAAGATGCTTAACAGGATTATTCTTTTGGGTAAAATTGATTTAAATACAAAGGTTTTATTTTTCCACTTCATTTGCAAAATGTTTATATTTTTTCTAAAGTTTTGTCTTCATTGCTGCTCTGAGTTATTCTTTCAGCAATTATAGACAATTATTTCATTTGTCTATTAATCATGATTAATCACTTCAGCTCCACCCTCACTTATTCCATAGAAGGTCGTTGCTGCTAGGAAGCCAAATATCTTCTGGGTTTTGTGGTCAAATGAGAATAAAGGCTGAAGGTACAACTTTCAAACATAGAGCACTGCCTTCACTCTCCGGCATGGTGGTGGCAGAGTCATACTGTGGGACTGTTGGTCGCTCTGGAAGGAAGAGAAACTCCACCACAAATAAAACAGCTGCATGTGCAACTTGGTTGATCTTTATCTCATTTGATTATAAATATCTCTCAAGATGCCAATGTTTTGAGTTTCTCAAAACATGAGAAAAAAGAAAAACAAGAAACATTTAAATAAATCAATAAATATGGGAGAGAATCAGGGCCACTGAAGAAGAAAATCTGACTTTTTAAACTAAGAAATTATGAGAAAAAAGTTAACATTTTGAGCCATAAGGCTTTTCTGCAATTCAAAACTTAAATTAACAAAGAATTTTAAATAAAAAAACAACTGATAACCACAACAGTAATCTAACTCAAAAATCAGCAAAATTCTTTGTTTTCAGTCAAATTGTGAAACAAAAACCTGAAATTTTAATAGAATTTTTACTTCCAATGTGAGGTTTTGCTTTTCCTGCTTTAGAAAAGACAAAACCAAAATCAGCAGTTAAAAGCTAAATGATCTGACCTGCATGGAGTTCCATGGCTTGATGAAGGAGCTGATCAGGTCCAGGTGATCGATCGGCTCCTGGACCTGGTGGATCCGTCCGCCGGGCTTGTAGCTGCAGAACAGACTCCTGCTCCGAGCCCTGAGGTGGTTCAACACGCTCATCGCTCAGAGCGGACGCATCCCTGCAGACATCCAGTAAACCAGACCTACAGAAACCTTCCAAACATCCTGTTCTGAAATCATTTCCTTCAGATCAGACGCTCAGAGAGAGGAGAGGTCGATTCGGATGATCTGGGTGCTTCATGTTTTAAATACTGTTATCATCCTCCGTCTGTTTCTCTCTCTCTTCCTCTCATCCCACCATGTCATCACAAATCTGCTGGATTTACAGAGATCATGAGCTAAACACTTAAATCTTTAAACACTTTATAGGCGTCATTAAGCACGACTTCAAAGAGTTGAAGGTTCAAATTTGGGGTTTTTGTAGCTTCTATGGAGCTACAAAAGTGTTCTAAAAGTACAGAATGGACTTACAAAAAAATACAGTTACTTAAATGTCTCAGATTACAGAGTATTAGGCCACACTAAGAAAATAAAAACCTAATGAAGTCAAAATTATGAGAATAGAATCAATAATGACAACTCATAAAATTAAAATAATACAAGAATAAAGTCATATAAATTTTTTCTTATGATTATATTATTTTGACATTATTCTCAAAATGTTACGACTATTATAAGTATTTTGACTATTTTTATAATATGACTATTTCTCATAAAATGTTGAAATTATTCTCATAGTTTTATTACTTTATTTTCATAATACAATTTTATTCTTGTAATATTGACTATATTCTGTTACATCTTTATTCTCATATTTTTTTATTTTTCTTATACTCCATCATAGCAAAGAAAACTGGATAGATTAATGTTCACATCCAGACGGGTTTGCTGTTAGCAGGATGTCTGCTCTCTCCTCTCGCTCCTCTGCAGGTGCAGCTTCCAGGTGACGTTTATTTCCCTCATCAAGGAGCAGAACGTAGAGGATTTCCAGAGACAGACACCAGATGATTTACTTCGACTCATGGTACTACTGCGGTTGCTGTCCTATCACATGATTTCACTTACCTTTGATCTCATCCATCCTCATAGGTCCTCATTCATTGCTCAGCTTCCACACTGATTTTCCAGTCCTGTGGATTTTCTCCTTCAGCATCTGTGTCTCATTCTCCTGGCTGCTCCCTGTGCTCCCAGATTACCTGTGGCTCACCTGCAGTCCTCACCTGTCTGTCCAACTGTCCATCTCCTCCAGCCAAGCAACCTATAAAGCAAACTAATTACTATTCACACAGCCCAACAGCAAGCAGCCAACCTCCAGATCTGTGGATGCTCTGTACCCCTCGATTGCCTCCTCCACTTCATAAAGTAAGATCCAGACTCATAACAAGTTGTCTGATCACAACCATTAATTATCTTCTGTCTTCCAGTGAGGATCTGGTGCTGATTTGGTGCAGAAAAGATAATTGAAATTTTTTTTTCTGTTCAATGAAATATTTAACCGTGCTGTGCTGGAGTCATTCAGGACATGACACTATATGTTTTTAATATACAGATCACAGTCTTCATAAGTTGAAAACAACATGTCAGCTTTGTAAGCTAATCTAGTTATGATTAGGTTACATTAACTTATTATGATGTGAATGGTGAACATCCATACTTTGATAAAGGCATGTTTAGCATTCCATACACCAGCTTTCCTCTTTATCTAAAATGTTTTCTGATTAGTTTAGACTAAATGTATTTGGCAAGTGTAACCCAGTGTTAAAAACAAAAGTGAAAGATATTAATTTGATGTCTTTTTTTCACAAGATTGGAAAGTATAAATGTAAGAACGCTGTGTGCGTCAGACAGGCACTAATTCAGATCTCTCATCAATTGAATCGTCCTCGGTTAGAAGGACTAGGCAACTCCGAAGATGCAGCTTCGAAGGTTTATTGTAGACTGACAAGCATCGATGAATATGGGAGGAAAGGTGGTACAGTAGATGAGTTTATGTATGTGTATGTGTGTGTGTGTGTGTGTGGTTATCTGAAACAGAAAAAACAATAAAGGTACATTAATAACTATGCAAGCAAGAACGGCTACACATAGGTATACGACAAAGAATGGTCTGCAGCACCACATAAATCCACCGGAGGGCACTACAATACCATCGGTAAAATGTAAGCACACTAATGACAAAACTGTCAGAAATACAAGTTAGTGGTAAATACGCTTACGTAATAATAATACAATAATATATATGTGACATATATATAACCGAGTATAGCACAACCTGAACTATTACAGATAATTTTCTGTACCGTCGGCAGCCAAACACGAGGATTTCCCCACCTCCTGCGCTAACAATCGACATAAACACCAGTATCGTATATGAAACGGCACACTTGCATCATATAAAACTTACACAGGTTTTACACAAACAGGATAAAAAGGGATTGATGGTGGATGTCACCCGCAGATACCACTCCTTACAACAGTCACACAGGAACATGAGATCAAAAAACTAGCCCAGCTATGTGCAATGATAACAAGCAAAGGAAACATAGATCCACCATGGGTAATGTAGTTGTACCAGAATGGACAGACTTTTAACAATAAAGAGATTTTGTTTTGTTTTACTCAGAAATATATACTATATGTAAAAGTGCCAAAAATCTTTAAAAGCTGTGAAGTAGGCCTTTAGTGATTGTTTTCCTGATGGATTGGGCAACCAATGGCTGGCGTGGTCTGATATTGCGTCAGCCAATGGGGTTGATTGTCCTGCCCTTTTTACTACTGTGCTGAGATTCTGCTCAGAATGCATCAGATGCGGTTGAGAACTCACAGCTGACCATTGTTTTCATTAGAGCCTGAAAGAGCTTGTAAAATCTGGACAAATGTTTCCTTTGAGAACAGCTGCGACTGGGGAAAAAAATCCCCATTAGCGTCAGACACCGTCAGAGCATTGGTCAGGTTTTCTTTTATGGTGCACTTTTTGCCTGGAGTGCCCAGAGACTTCAACACCCACTTCTTCTGAATTTGGATAGCGAGCCCCATCCCAGAGGACCCAGTGATATGGTAGATAGTGACCTGACTGGTCACTAACCTTGAAATACTGAGAGAATTGACTGACACATTGGAAGAGACTGGAAAAACACTGAATTGACTGATACATTGAAACGACTGTTTTTTATTTTATTTTCTGTTTTTAAAAAAAACACATGCAATTTTGTTACAATTGTACATGTGAATCCACAATTATTTATATTATTAAGTTTTACTCTTTCTTATTGACACTTTGTGCACTCCCTTGTTGTTATTCACACTTAGGCTCCTGAGAATTTAGAATCTTTTGATCAGGCCCAACTTTTTCAAATATACTTTAATATTATTGGTATTAGTCAGAGAAGTAAACTGAATAACCTGCCATTTGCTATTATTAGGTGTATTTATAGTAACTTGTGGGCTACATACAATAATAAAAATTTGGCGAGCCAGCCAGGAGTCAACCCTAGAATCTTCTGATCAGAACCAACATTTTAAATATACTTTAATAGTATTGGTATTAGTCAGAGAAGTAAATTGAATAATCTGCCATTTGCTATTATTAGGTGTATTTATAGTAACTTGTGGGCTACATACAATAATAAAAATTTGGCGAGCCAGCCAGGAGCTTAGCGTTCTGTGATACAGTGGAATAACGATTTGAATCTTGTCTGTTAACACATTGGTACAATGGATTTCATTGAAAAATTAGGAATTAAGGTACCAAATGCACTCATTGTTAGCGGTTTAACTGGATCTCAAAAGGATGATTTTTTAAAACTTTTTGCAACAATGTGGTACAATAAATAGGACACTAACAGTCAATGATAGATCATCTGACTTTTCATCAGAACTGTGTTGTGGAGTTTAGCTCTGCTTTAGCTGTTCACCAATTAACACCTGCATTGCATTACCTGTATCCATCAGCTGATAATCCATATGTTTAAAACTGTATCCGCACCCTAACAGAGGCTTACACAAAAACCTTCAGGGGTAGTGTTACTGATACCTACCTCACTGATCTAAAGTTCTTAGCTAAGTTAAGTGGGAAGGATTTTTGAAGAAGTTTTGGGGGAAGTGATGTCAAAGTTTGAAGAGTCCATGGGACCTGTTGAGGCAGTTGCAAGCCCGTGTCCTAATAATGACACAGAGCCTACACAAAGTGTTGTTTTCCCTCCAAATCACATTGATAACGCCCACTATTCTAAGCTTGTTCAGAGCCCTGATCCTAGTTCTTTGAAACTTATCCAGAAACCTCACATGTTAGGCCAAATCAATCTAGTCTCACCCTGAAGTACAGAGGACTGTGGTTGAACATGTCAAAACTACAGAGAAGACATTGAATACTCATTCCACTCTGAGGTTGAGAGCTTTCTCTGGAAATTTTTTTTCTATTTTTATTCTAACTGCTCCATTACATTTCATGTTTAGAGTTTTTAATCTTTCTTAAAGGATTGTTTTTGATACACAGTGAGTAATTGCCATAATGTTGAGCAGATTTGTAGAATTAATCTCTCTGTTTCTCTGGAATTAAAGTGTGCTCATAATCCAATTAAATGTTCAGATCTACTTTCTTTCCCTTCAATGAAGCAGAAAAATGTTTTTTGCACATGAATTTAATTGATGTAACAAGATAAATGTGTCAAAATTAGTTCAATTAACTGATGTAAAAATCACTTTCATCAAATTAAATACATTAAAAATGTTTTCAGATGAACAAATTATAGCATAATGAAGTTTCTTTTCTCTATCGACAGATTTCAACATCTTAACATCTTAATCCCAGTTTGTGACATTTGGTCTCCAAGCTGATAAGTGGAGATTAATCTGCATGGCAGGAAAACTGGGATGATGAATGGATGAATGCAGCTCTAAATAAAATCAACTCATTGGGTCTTATCCGGTCTCAAAACACTATGTTTGAAATGCATTGCATGGTGACACAACTTTGGATGTGGAGGTTTGGTTTCCTGCAGGAGATTAAAGCCAAACACAGACTGGAGGAAACGCTCACAGTTCTGAGTGGAAATAGGCTTTAATCAATTAACAGCAGAAGTTTTACTTTTATTATTAACACTTTTAATGGACCAAATTCCTGATGATTTTAGACCAAATTTGAAAGTGGAAATGTCCGTAATCAGTCATACATCAATATTTCGGCCCAAATCTTCATATTGATGCATCCCTGTATGTAACATTTAGACTAGATTGTATCAAGTGGGAAAGTAGGAAAACTGCATTCCTGCAGCATGTTTTAAATGTTGATGTTGAGGGTGGAGTGTTTGGTCGGAGACATCAGAACGTGAGACAGCGACACCAGCAGCCAGTCCTCCACCTCTTGGCTCTCGTACTATAAAGGTCATAAAGGTCACTGCTCAGGTTCTGCAAGAGGAGAGACATTCATGGGATCAACGTTCAGATTGGAGGCAACAGGAACAAAACAAACTGCAGTGAAACATTCAAGCTGAAAGAATAACGAGCAAAAACCCAATTAACTGGTGGAAACTAATTGGGTTAGTGTTACGGGTAGGGTTAGACAAACCTGTACTTAAGTATATTTATATATTTTACATTGTTTCCATGTTAAATTCAAAATGTATATATATTAAACTTTCTAACTTCTTTCCTGCAGTTACAGGGTGAGTCTTTCTTCATGACTCTTTAAGGAATGAGAAGCTCAATGTTTTTATCCAACCTTGTTATTAATCAGTGAAATAAGTTGGAGGAGAGACGTTTGGTTCCTGTTGCAGCTCAGTGTTAATCTGTTTAATCTGAGAGATTAGCTCCAGTCTAACACTGCAGTGAGGATTAAAAGCAGCCAGACAAGGTGAGGGACGGAGGAGAGGTCACCATCAGGAAGCTTGAACCTCTGCAACAAACTGCATTTTAATCCCAACCAGCTGCTGATTTTACTGTGTTTTGGGATTTCCCATTAAATCCTTTATTTTCTGCTTTGGGTTGAATCAGGTGTGGCCCACATTGGCGCTGTGGCGGGTCATATCCATGTTGATTTATTCTCAGCTAAAAACAGGTTTACTTTTTGTTATTAGATGTAAAATATAGCAGTGATGCAGCGATCAGACCTTTTCTGTTCAACACTGATCTCCAGATTTCATCATGCTCTGATCTTCCAGTTCCTGGGATTTTTTCTCCAAAGAGAAAAATGTTCTGCAGGTTCTGAGTTTCAGGTAGTAGTTCTGAATGAAACAGAAAATATTAAGATTTTCCCACTTTATGCTTCAAAGCATTGACCTCTGACCTTCATGGGATGGGAATGTTTTACTTTAATTAGGACTTTCTGAAAGGCAGAGTTGATGAAAAAATCTTTTTAATGCAAATATTAAAATCTGAACAGGAAAAAAACAGAATGAGCAGCAAATTAACCAAATGCAGAAGAAAAATGTTTTTATTTAAAACACGAAGAAAAACTGCAGCAAATTTACAATAAGAAGATTTAATATTCAAATCTGACATGTTGAGAAAAATAGGAGCCGATAGAAACAGAAAATGATCAGATTGAGAAAAACTGATCAATATTTCAATGAAATCTGATGAATGAATGTAAAAAATAAGAGAAACAACATCTTGATATTCAGTGTGAATTTTTGACTGGAAACAGACAGAAAAACATGAGGATCCTGGAATAATCCTGGAATAATCCTGGAATAATCCCAGTTTCCATTATTGAAGGACTGGAAGAAGAAAAAGTTTCCAAGGACTCAATCAGAATCGTTTCACCAAGAAATAGATTGTAGAGACTGAACTATCTTTTCAACAGTGAGAGAGTTTCTCTAACAGGAGGAAAAACTTTAGACTCAAATCAGCTCAGGAACACTGAAGAGGAACCAGAACTGGACCTCCAGAACCTAAATCCAGGAATCAGAGGTTCAGTGAATGTGGTGTTGAAGGTGTGGAGGAGGATCAGTGAGTCAGAGGAGACTCTGTAGAAGGACAGAATGCCAGCAGGACAGTCCACATACACTGCTACTCTGTTAGAGACAGAGGAGGAGGAGAGAGGAGTTTCTCTGTCATTGTGCCAGACAGAGTAACCAACATCATCAGAGCAGCTCAGACTCCAGGAATGATCATTCCATCCAAACAAACTGTCTCTACTGAATCCTTTCCTCCTGATTCTTCTGTAACTCACTGATATATTAACATCTCCTCTCCACTCAACCTCCCAGTAACAGCGACCAGTCAGACCAGTTCTACACAGCAGCTGAGGAAAATCAAATCTGTCTGGATGACCAGGATATGACTGAAGCTCCTCCCATGTCACCTTCCTGTTGTCTTCAGACAGTTTGAGTTTTCTGCTCACTGTGTTTGTGTCGATGGTGAGTTGACAGGAATCTGATGGAGAACAAACACAATCCAGCTGCAGTTATTGATCATTTATTGACACTTTGACTCCTGAATGAGTGATGTGACAGTTTGAAGATGGTTGAATGTGAGCTGCTTTGTTGTCATGAATCAGATGAAAAACACACTTACATTTCCTCAGACCTGGAGTCAAGAATCGGCCTCCAGCAGGCCTCACCCTGAAAGGAGGAGGGGGGTCAGACTATCAGACTCTTTCAGCAGCAAACATGGACATTACATGTCTCTCAGACACACATTGTCCTCCACTGAGACAGGAACAGTCCAACATCTGGATTGCAAACTGCAGTGGATGTAGGAAGGACAGTTGGTGCTGCTGCAGCACAACTCATTTCTCCAAACACAGGAAAAGCTCCAACAGAGAGGAGAAAGGAAATCCCTCAGTAACAACCTGAAGAAACTCACTGAAGCCTAAAAGGACATCAGGAAACTAAGGAAACATTTCTGGAAGCTCCACCTGATTTAATAATCAGCATTAAAATACAATCAATCTAAACTCTGATCAACACCTGGATACCTGATCCATCCACACTCCCACACACAGATGAAGGAATGAAACACTAAACAGCCCTGCTGCTGAAAACCTGCTGTGGCCTCACTGTAATATCCAGAAATACAAACATTAAAAAGGAGAAGCTGCATCACATTCAACAAAGATTCAACAAGAATCAAAGATTTGATCTCTGAGCTCAGACTCACAAACCAGGGAGAGGCTTCCATCATCACACACCTCTGACAAACACCTCCAACCTTTCAGCACTTCCTCTACCAACCAGCACCACCAGGTGGCGCTGCACACATTTACAATGAGCCCAAGAAGAAGAAGCAGCATCCTGAATCCAGTAGATTTAATATTAATTTATTGAATATGACTGTAGATGTAAATATGAGATTATTGACATTAATCCAGTAAAAGGATGTGGAGAAGTTTAACGTTACTGGGACATTCATGGCAGGAGACGCTGCGATCCATGCGCCCCGACCGCAGTAATCAATGTTACTGCCAGTTCAGCTGCTTACAACTATTTAATTGCTTTATTTATTGCAGTCAATTTAAACTAGAAGCTGGTAAGATTACATAAAACTTTACTAACTTAAATCAATATCAGATCCAGAACTCAGAGTTTAGCAGCTTAACTTGCCTCCATATGTTTTTCATATTTGATGGTGAATTTTTGAAAGTTATCAGTTCATGATATCAGGGAGGCAAAGGCACCAGAATCATTGATTACTTTCAAACTAACCAACAAATCAAAAAGCTCAAAGCGACTTGGATGTAACTTGTAACACAACAATTTATAGAAATGTAGTGAAGTAGAAAGTACAGATACTGTAAAATGTAGTGGAGTAAAAGTTCCCAGGATTAAATCTACTTATGAACAGAAACATGAAAAATGTCCTTAAGTTCAGGAACAAAGTTCTTGTCCCAACAACAGGATCAGGTGAAGGACCTCTGCAGTCCCATGATGCTTCCTCTCCCTCTTCTAAACCATCTGATGGGCTGATATCATCCCTCTACTTTATCAATAAAATCTGATTCTTTCTCTTATTACCATTCCATTATTGATCATAAATGTGACGTCAGAGCTGTGGATCTGGAATCTGATTGGTCGGATGGATATTTCCTGGTTTTCCAACATGAAGGGTCTCTGCCTTTTTCTAACAAGTTGGGAATTTTCCCCAAACTTCATTGAACATTCCCAAAAGTTTTTCCAACTACTGAAAACCTGAACACATTAGTCTTTTCTTGGATCTGTCTAAAAGGTTTTATTATTGTTTTTTTAATTTCTACCAGTCAACAGAGCACAATTCTACTTTTTCACCATCATTCACTGCAATTCTTCATTTCCTCTGGAAAACAAGGGATTTCCATTCTCTCCTGATTCTTTTCATTCTTTGATCATTTTCCAGATGTCGCCCCCTGGTGGACATCAAACTACTAAATGGTATAAACTGTTAAAATTCTCACTTTCTTTCTTTGCCTCATGAATTGTTTTCTTCATTTTTATGTAATTTATATTTTATTACATTCTGGAAGTTGTGAGTTTTGTTTAAAATCTAAAGTTCTTTATTTTTCTCTCCCAGAACTTTAAACATCCATCTGACCAACATGGAGTTACTTTTCTTCTAATCTTTGCTTCTTGGGGCTGATTGGTCTGGAGCTCCATCAAATATTGTTTTAAATTCTTTCTGCCATCAGTGGATCATCATGGAAATCTAATTGAACTTCTGTTTTCTCTGACTAAAGACATTTCTCCCTCTTCCTCCTCTATCAGACCTTCTCTGCTCCTGCAGCAGGTTCCTCCATACCTGAGAGCTTCCAGTCTCCAGTGTGGATCCTTCAGTCCAGCCGACAGCAGCTTCACTCCTGAGTCTCCTGGATGATTGTAGCTCAGGTCCAACTCTTTCAGATGGGAGGGGTTGGAGGTCAGAGCTGAGGCCAGAGAAGCACAGCCTTCCTCTGAGACCAAACAGCCTGATAAGCTGCAGACACACAATTCATCACATGATGAGAAAATGAGAACATTGAGGTAGAAACCAAGGTCTGAACTGATGGATGGATGGATGGATGGATGGATGGCCCAGAGTTACCTGAGAGTTTCCAGGTTGCAGTTTGGACTCTTCAGTCCAGCAGAGAGAAGCTTCACTCCTGAATCCTGCAGGTTGTTGTTACTCAGGTCCAGTTCTCTGAGACTGGAGGACTGGGAGCTGAGAACTGAGGACAGAGCTTCACAGCTTCTCTCTGAGAGGTTACAGTAACTCAGTCTGAGGAGACAGGGAGGAAAATATGTTATTAAATAATTCATCAAAATGTCTTTTTCCTGTCAACAATGTTCCTCTTTACTGATTTAATGGACTGTTTTATATATAATCATGTTGCCTTTTGTTGTGAACTGGTTCAGTCTATATTTGGGTCTCCAGCCATGAAGGACTGAACTAAAGGCAACAAGGAGGCTGGCAAGAGAAATATGAAATTCCTCTATGAACTAAATGAATCCATGTCAGTTTTAACAGAAAGAGTCCAATGAAGCCTGAGAATCAAGGCTGGGCTGAAGATCAGCATCAGGCTCAGTTTGAGGATCAGCATCAGAGCTGGTTTGAGGGAAAACAGCAGCTTGAATCAAAGCAGAGCAAATCTACAGTTTCATCTTTACATGTTTAACTGAAGAGCAACTGAAAAAAACTGTTCCTTTGAGCAACAAGCTAATTATTCAGCTTCATACTAAATGTTTGCCAGCAGACTGACTAAAGACATTTCTCCCTCTTCCTCCTCTATCAGACCTTCTCTGCTCCTGCAGCAGGTTCCTCCATACCTGAGAGCTTCCAGTCTCCAGTGTGGATCCTTCAGTCCAGCCCACAGCAGCTTCACTCCTGAGTCTCCTGGATGATTGTAGCTCAGGTCCAACTCTTTCAGATGGGAGGGGTTGGAGGTCAGAGCTGAGGCCAGAGAAGCACAGCCTTCCTCTGAGACCAAACAGCCTGATAAGCTGCAGACACACAATTCATCACATGATGAGAAAATGAGAACATTGAGGTAGAAACCAAGGACTGAACTGATGGATGGATGGATGGATGGACGGATGGCCCAGAGTTACCTGAGAGTTTCCAGGTTGCAGTTTGGACTCTTCAGTCCAGCAGAGAGAAGCTTCACTCCTGAATCCTGCAGGTTGTTGTTACTCAGGTCCAGTTCTCTGAGACTGGAGGACTGGGAGCTGAGAACTGAGGACAGAGCTTCACAGCTTCTCCATGAGAGGTTACAGCCACTCAGTCTGAGGAGACAGGGAGGAAAATATGTTACTAAATAATTCCTGAAAATCTATGTTCTTTCAGATCAACAATGTTTTTATTGGACAGAGAAGGAACTGTCTTATTTTACACAACCTTTGCATTTGTTGTGAACTTCTTTATTCTATAGTTGTTCAACCTCCAGCCATAAAGGACTGAACTACAGGTAACAAAGAGGTTAGAAAGAGTATTGTAAATTTCCACAATTAACTGAATTAATCCAATTTCAACTTTAGCAGTGTAAGAGCTTTGATGCTTTAATATGTAACACTATGTTGAGCTGCTGCAGGAAGTCTGTTTCTTTTTGCACAACCCCCAATGGGACACGTTGAAGAAACAAAGCACCAAAACATAAATTAAAACATGAATATTTACCTCATAATTAGCAGATTTTTATTAAAAATAACTGCAGTGACAATGTGTGTCCTTACAGAGCTTTGTTGGAGGCTTTAACCACTGGCAGCAGCCTCAGAAGAACCTCCTCTGAAGCAGAGTATTTCTTCAGGTCAAACACATCCAGATCTTTTCCTGATGACACTAAGATGAAACCCAGAGCTGACCACTGAGCAGGAGACAGTTTATCTGTGGAGAGACTTCCTGAACTCAGAGACTGTTGGATCTCCTCCACTAGAGAACGATCATTCAGTTCATTCAGACAGTGGAACAGATTGATGCTTTTCTCTGCAGACACATTCTTACTGATCTTCTCCTTGATGTACTGAACTGTTGCCTGATTGGTCTGTGAGCTACTTCCTGTCTTTGTCAGCAGACCTTGTAGGAGTCTCTGATTGGTCTGCAGTGAAAGTCCCAGGAGGAAGCGGAGGAACAAGTCCAGGTGTCCATTTGGACTCTGTAAGGCCTGGTCAACAGCTCTCTGATGGAGAGAATTTAGTTTAGAGTCTCTAGATAATGAAAGGCTCTCAGGTATTTGTGTTTCTTCCATCAGGTTGACTCCAGAGTTGATGAAGGTCAGATGAACATGAAGAGCAGCCAGAAACTCCTGAACACTCAGATGGACGAAGCAGAACACCTTGTCCTGGTACAGACCTCTCTCCTCTTTAAAGATCTGTGTGAACACTCCTGAGTACACTGAGGCTGCTCTGATATCGATGCCACACTCTGTCAGGTCTGATTCATAGAAGATCAGGTTTCCTTTCTGCAGCTGATCAAAAGCCAGTTTTCCCAGAGACTCAATCATCTTCCTGCTCTCTGGACTCCAGTGTGGATCTGTTTCAGCTCCTCCATCATACTTGACCTTCTTCACTTTGGTCTGAACCACCAGGAAGTGGATGTACATCTCAGTCAGGGTTCTGGGCAGCTCTCCTCCCTCTCTGGTCTCCAACACATCCTCCAGAACTGTAGCAGTGATCCAGCAGAAGACTGGGATGTGGCACATGATGTGGAGGCTTCGTGATGTCTTCATGTGGGAGATGATCCTGCTGGCCTGCTCCTCATCTCTGAATCTCTTCCTGAAGTACTCCTCCTTCTGAGGGTCATTGAACCCTCTGACCTCTGTCACCATGCTAACACATTGAGGAGGGATCTGATTGGCTGCTGCAGGTCGTGTGGTTATCCAGAGGAGAGCAGAGGGAAGCAGTTTCCCCCTGATGAGGTTTGTCAGCAGAACATCCACTGAGGTGGACTCTGTAGCATCAGTCAGGATCTCCTTGTTGTGGAAGTCCAGTGGAAGTCGACTCTCATCCAAGCCATCAAAGATGAACAGAACCTGGAAGTGTTCAAAGCTGCAGATTTCTTTGGTTTCACTAAAGAAGTGATGAACAAGTTCCACCAAGCTGAACTTTTTCTCTTTCAGCACATTCAGCTCTCTGAAGGTGAATGGAAATATGAACTGGATGTTCTGGTGGGCTTTGTCTTCAGCCCAGTCCAGAGTGAACTTCTGTGTTAGGACTGTTTTCCCAATGCCAGCCACTCCCTTTGTCATCACTGTTCTGATTGGTTGATCTCTTCCAGGTGGGACTTTAAAGATGTCTTCTTGTCTGATTGTTGTTTCTGGTCTGTGTGGTTTCCTGGATGCTGTTTCAATCTGTCTGACCTCATGTTCATCATTGACCTCTCCAGTCCCTCCCTCTGTGATGTAGAGCTCTGTGTAGATCTGGTTCAGAAGGGTTGGACTTCCTGCTTTAGCAATTCCCTCAAACACAGACTGGAACTTCTTCTTCAGATCAGATTTAAGTTTTTGTTGACAAACTGGAGCAAAAAGTCCTAAATTAACACAATAAAAATCAGATTTGAAAAAAAAATCATATTTTTGAATTTGAATTTATCAATTCAAATTTCTGAAGAAATGCACCTACTGATCTGCCAATGGTCAGCCAGCTTTTCCTGCTTCATCTTCCTCAGGAAGTTCAGTGTAATCTTCATCACTGCCTCTCTGCTGCTCCTCCTCTGTTCTTCATCATCATCATCACCTTCCAACACTTCATCATCTCTCTGACTCTCTGAATGTTCTGGGTAATCTGGACTCAGAACTTTCTGGATCTTCTTCAGTTCTTTCTTCACATAAGTGACAATATTTTCCTCCAGCAGCTGGAACAGAATAATAGATGAAGGAAACATCAGAGTGAAATCATGGAGCCAAACACCAGATGGATGTTGGACAGACTGACAGTTGTGAAGAGGTTTTATTCGTATTAAATGAGGTTCCTTTATGTATCATATAAATGTAATGTTTTTTGAATCACAGTCAAGGTGTTTTTCTGTGCAGCTGGAAATGGTGTTTCCAGGGTTGCTGAACTTCCCCAGACAGTTATTTGGGAACTCGCTGTTTTTCCCGTGGCCTTCCCTGCATGGAGATAGGGTGTTTAATTTTCACCTCCCATAGACATTACAGTGAATGAGCATACAAGGTTTCGTATGTTTTCCTTTGTTTATTTTGTTTGGTCTTCGAAGCTCGAGTCTCCGCCTCGGTAGTAAAGAGAGATGAATAAAGTAACTATGCAACTCTGGGTTCCTCAGAGCGGATCCTAATTTGTGCCTAATGCAGTGTATTTCTTGCTCTCCGTCTGCAGATGTATTAAAGATTGTTTTTGCTCCCTGACTTTTGTCTGGATCTCAGTCTCTGAATTGTGCACTTCACAATTTGGTGCATTGGCCGGGAACCTTCGCTGGTTCATCCAAGTCGGTGGACCTCAGGAGAGGGCTGATCACCAAACCTTCAAACTGGTTTTCCTCCAAACCTCTGCCAGGTCTGTCTGAGAAAAAGAGGAGTCTTCTGGTGCTCCACCGGGTTGGATCAGCCACGACAGGATAAAAATAGAGCTGAGAGGGGCTGCAAAACATCTTAAGGTATGTAGGTCTATTTATTTAGACTGAGTTGTAGGTCTGTCAATTTTAGACCGAGTCCTGTAGGTCTGTCGATTCAGACTGAGTTCCCCTAGGTCTATTAATTTAGACTGAGTTTGTAGGTCTATTAATTTAGACTGAATTTGTAGGTCTATTAATTTAGACTGATTCCTGTAGGTCTATTAATTTAGAGTGAGTTGTAGGTCTATCAAATTAGACTGAGGATTGAAGTCAACGTTTCAAATAAATGTTTTAAATTGTAGGAGGTTTGCAAAATTACAATTAGAGAATGGGGAATTATGTGTTCAGTATTTGTCACAATGGTATAAATTTGGATTTCCTATTCATGGGTTATTTGAACCCGAGTTTTTTGATAGTAATTTACTGCTACAGAAACAACAGCTGCTGAGGAAAAAATAATAATAAAAAGAAATAAATAAAAAGAAAAGAAGAAAAAGAAAAATCTCACTCGACCATTTACAAATAATGCAAGCACACACACTTACACTCAGAGTCTGGAAACAGGAATAAAAATAAAAAATAAAAAAAAACACGACAACATAGATTTCAGATGGTTCAGAAAGCTGAAGAAAGAAAAAGAAACATGAGAAATCAGCTGAACAAGATAAGAAAAATAAGAAAACTAATGACTGTTTTTCTCTCTTCCCAACATGTAAACCTGCTGCGATGAGCTTGCATCCAGCGGCACCAACGGGTTCACCTGGCATCGCTAGACTCTATTCAACTTTTCCTCCTTACCAACCATCAGCCTCACTGAGGAAAGACTTTTTTTTGGACATTGATGACCATTATCCCTACGGCCTGAAGACTGAGGAGGAAGACACTATGCCTCCCCTGGATGGGGAAGAAGAAAATACTTTTTACTCCAGTTGCTGAGAACACCCGGATGAGAAAGAAACAGCAAGAAACTCTACAACACCAGCCTAAGCCTTCACCAGGTGCTTTGACTGATCTTCAGTGTCCCATGTATGGACCGTGAGGTTGAAGAGACCCAACTACACAATTCTGCCAACTCACCTGCTTCATCAGGCTGCCCTGAACATCCACAGCCACAGCAAGAACAGTATGGACAGTATGGACAGCCACTACAGTATGGACAGTATGGACAGCAAGGACAGTATTGGCAGTCACAAAGCAACACACTGCCTGATGTTTGTTTAATCTGTGGACAACAAGGACGTTGGGACAGAGACTGCTTCCAGAGACAATTCAGAAACAACCAGGAGGCCGTAGGTTGCACAGAGCCCGAGGAGGAAGATTTGATGTCAACCAAAGAGGCTTCCCCAGATGGGTCAAGATTTTCCTTTAAGAGGTGGACTTACAGGACATCGTGGAGGGTATTCCAGCTAACTAGACCTGGTGCCGTTGGAGCAACTTCTGGTTCAGCAAATCGCAAGTACCAATATACACAACACATATGTAAAATATACAACTGAAATACACCAAGTCCTTCCCATGCTCAGTATTTCTGTCTATTGAATGTTCAGACACGGGGCTACGTGTCCAAAAACAAACTCCAACTGATTTAGTTTGTTCAAAACACCAAGTCTGCTCTACATTTTTAAATGGTTGATTACAGACCGACAATCTGAGGCCATTTTGCAAATGGCTCGTGAAAGAGTCCCTCCCACTTCCACTGTGATGTCAGTAAAATTCATTG